GGGGGTGGCATGTTCTAATATTTGCCCCCAAAAAGTCATATTGTAAACATGGTCCTACAATAAATACACATGGTAGAGGGCTTCCTTCGATCATATTATAAACATGGTCCTACAAGAAATAAATGTCTTGCCATCTACTGAGACAAACATGGTAGAGGGCTTACCTTCAATCTACAGTGTAGCAAAATACCCTCCCAACACAAATCAAAGACTTAAAGAGTCTAAACCATTGTCCTCAGACCAAGAAACGGCTTAGCTAAATGCATTTTAGTCAATAATGCCCTTGTTTCAAAATTAGGATTTGGACTGACCATGCAAATACAGCAAGTACCAATTCCATGAGTCAAACATGCTACTCATGTCACTTTTTATAAGTTTCTGCAAATAAAACTTACTGATATAAATAAATAACTGTTTGAAGTAAAGTTACGAATTAAAACCTATAGTCAGCTGTTGCTTTGACAAATTTTCTAAAATGTTTAAGAATCATTTAGCGAACAAAATATTGGTTTTAGACAATTTGATTATTTGAGAAATCTATTAGCTACAGGAGTGATCTTTGATCCTAATTGTTGTCTTTTAGATTGTAGCGTCAGTGCACGGAGCAGATCTAACACTTATGTTATACCCTGGCAAAAAAATGCAAGTATGCAACTATTGAGTCATGGTGATGTAATAATTAAATTAATTAATTAACTTATCAGTGTAACTGTGTAATCCACAGCACATAAGGATTTCAGAAAATCAAATAGCTACCAAAAAGCAGCCAGGGCCACGGAAATAATGTAGATCCAAGAAACAGCTAGTATAACCTTTAAATAACATAACTTCAGCAGTGAAAAAAATTGGAATCCCCCCATGCTTTATATATTATATAGATATAAAAATGCAAGACTATCAAACATGAACAATATAACAAAGAATGAGGTGTTTCCATCAGCTTTACTTCTATCTAGTAAGTATATGCACGATGTTGGGTGGAAATTCACTTGTAACAGTCATCTCATTAAACACCGTTTTTCCATTACAAACAAGTATTAAAAGCCAAGCAATTGGGAATGCATGTCAGCTTCCCTTCCAGAGGAATTAATTTCCTTTGACATGCACGATATCCCTGCTAGATGCATAGCTTTAAGGATACTTAAGACCCCATGAACTTTAGGGAGTTTTGCACGTAACCCCTGCAAAACTTTGTTTATTCAATTAAACTCCCTGAACTTTGGATCGTCTCACTTAACCCCAGCCCCCACCCCCAAAAAAATAACAATAAAATAAATAAAGTTTGAAGGTTTTACAACATACACCCCTGATGTAGTTACTGTTAATAGTGAAATGACCAAAATGACCTTTTTGAAATATAACCCACCAAAAAAGATAAAGAGGTAAATTTTAATAAACTGAGAGGTACTCGTACTTTGCTATCATGTCACATGGCTCATCAAAGTTCATAATGTTATTGTGGGGTGTTAAGTAATACAATCTGGGGATTAAATAGGATAAACAAAACTCAAGAGGGTTACGTGCAAAACCGCCACGGTTCAGGGAGTTTAAGTGAAAATCACCCTAGGTTTAAAAGTTGGGCGTACAAGAAAAGAGCCTGCAGGGACAATGAGTTTCAGAGCTCTTATTCTGTTTTGTTTTGTTCTATTTCTGTTTTAGGGACAGCTATTTTTCTGACTATATGTATAGGGACAATTATTTTTTTGTAATCCATTACTTTTCTTGGTTTTTCAATAGTAACTGCCAAATAGTCAGGTTTTCAAGATCTCATACTAAAGTCCGTAACTGTTAGATTTAAAAGAAACTCAAGACATAATTCAAATCATAGGGATTTAATTTCACGTTCATGTGGATCTGAAGCATGCATACACATGAGAATAATAGGTATAATATAGCATATGAGGGGAATCTCTCAAATATATAGTGATGTGGTTGAATCTCAACCAACTAGAAACAGAAGGGTTCTTTCTTTATTACCCACAACACTTAGCAGGGTTCTTTCTTTATTACCCACAACACTCAGGCTAAGATTCAGCCACATCACGACAAATGAGAGAATCCCTCGGATGTCATACAATACCCCTTATTCCCGGTCTTTATGTGTATGTTATGAAAGCTTTTGTAAACTTAAGGGGACTGAGGGCTTTGTCCACTAATTCTATATCCCTTGGATTTGCTTAAGAGGAACGAGGGTTTGTCCACTGACTTCAATATCCCTTAGATTTGCTTTGAGATGCGTGTTGATGTAGGATACGCATCAAGATTATCTTTTCTCAATATTCACCACGCATCAGCACACATCTCAAAGTAAATAAAGTTAATGAACAGAGTCCTCACTCTGCTTAAGCTTATACGAGCATTACTCGATGAGATGCTCTTTATGAAATAGTACAATTAACCTCTTAAAAGAGCTGCTAAATAAATGAAATGATTCTTTTTTTTTTTGTTGGTTCTATTAATGAGTTTCAGACTACTATGAGAAAACAAAGAACAGAATGAATTTTAGCTACAATTTTTTTGGGGAGGGTGGTGGGCATCAGAAGATTACAAAAATTATAATCCTTTCTGATTTTGTATGTACTACTATCTGAATCCTTCAGATTCCAGAGCTTCTCCACATTCATAATTTATAACTTATCTCTAATATATATATATATAACCAAGTGCTTGCTTTAATATTGATCATACCCTGTCTTTTCGTATATATATATAACCAAGTGCTTGCTTTAATATTGATCATACCCTGTCTTTTCGTTACACATTTTGGAAAAATTCACACTGGACAATTACCATCTTTAACCTTTATCTAACGCTTCCCTTTAGCTACATACGCAGTAGGGACAGGTTGCCTTTTTTCCAACAAGTCTTTTTGGGAAGTAAACAGGTATTTTCATGTAAGAATGCAATGCTGAAGGCAAAATAGTAATTATACAAGAATATATCAGATGTATAAGAAACATTATGAAAACTGTGAATCATCCTTACCTTCAGGGTTGTCCCTTCTTTATGGGCTTTCTTTGCGACAGCTGCAGCCTTATCATACCCAATTTTCTGTTTTAGCAATTGATGGTTGTAAATAACATGATCGAATATAATTACTGTACAGGGAAATAGGTAATGACTAAACAACTTACAGGGTTCAACGATGTAACAAGCATCAATGACTGCAATACATATTAGAAAACAAATAATTAGAAACCAGTATTATTTTAATCAAAAATGACATGGAATGGTGTAGAAGATGGTGTATGAAAACATACCTCGTGCAGTAACTTAGATATTCTTTCATGATTTGCTTGAATTCCCCTCACGCAATTCTTTTCAAATGAAACGGATGCATCTCCAAGTAGTCTCAAAGACTGTCAACAAAAAAAAAAAAGATCAATTGGTATTTCCAACACAAGAGATGCAATTTCAGGTAATATTACCCAATGTATAAGAAGAACTAAAGAATAAAGAACATTACAGCTTGTTTTTCATTTTAAAAACATAATGTAAATCATAATCTGGAATTAAATATAACGATTAATAGCATCATATCATACACGAAGAAGGCCACTAGCAATCATTGGCTTGTAAACATTGAGTTCAAAGTGGCCATTTGATCCACCTACAGTGACAGCAACATGATTGCCCATAACCTGCAATAAAAATAGCTGCTGGATTAGCCTTCCACGCTTATGAAAAGATGAAGGTTTCTTACTATGATAGATAGTACCCCTCTAAACTGTAATTTATTTGACCAAAATTGTAACAGCGTTAATAAAAGATTAAGGGACCAAGGAGCACAAATAAATTTTACAATTATAATAGTCAACTAGGATGAAGAGAGAACCACCCCTGGTGCTATTTGCACTCATTGTCTAAATCCATCTCCATTGAAGCAAGCAATTATACAAGATTCAGTTGCAAGAAATAAGCACTCTTAAGGACTCCAGGATTTCATCAAGTGAACATTAGCTGATCGAATCTAAATTTTCCAAGTAGGACCAGTGAAGCAAGTGTGTACGGGGCTGAAAAAAAAGTAATAACTAAAAAGTTCTCATCAGAGAATTATCACGTGGGTTAGCTGTTTCTTGCTAAGGAGAAAAGAGGATTTACAGTAATCGAGATTACTAGAATATACGGATCTAAGGATGTTAAAATCTAGAACTCTACTTAGACATCCGGTAGGTAACAATTCATGTGTTTCTATCACTTTGTAAAATCACCATGAACAAACTTGTGCTTTGTGTATCACATTACTTATTCATTTCTGAAATACAATTGGTTGATATTCTAACTCCTTGATTGGTATCGTCTGACACCTTTTCTTTAGAAGGAAGAGTAAGCAACCCGTGGAGACAAGCAATCACTAAGTAGAAAGCTTAGAAAGGTTCCACAAATGCATTTTGCCAGCAATAAAAGCAAAACACTATGGTAGCATGATAAATTTTGGGAGTAGCAAATTTTGTGTATAGTTAAGTGCTTTTATAGCTATTTTCCACTATTCAGGTATTCTGCTAGACTCAGCTGTCAAATTGATACATTTTGGATAACGATACATGTGTTTGGATGGATGTGTCTATATATAAAATACTTGTACCACTATTCAGGTATTCCACTAGACTCAGCTGTCAACTTGATACATTTTGCATAATGATATGTGTGTTTGGCGATGTGTCTGTACATACTTGTACAGATTGTCCCTTGACCATTAAAATAGGTCATATCAAAATTTTCTTGTATATTAAGTGATATATGGGTCAAGACAATACAGAACATATCTAATAAGCGCACCGCTAAGTTAACTTCAATTAACTTTAACCATAGCTCTGTTGCATACTCAAACATAAATCCTTGCCTCGATATAAATTGTAAGTGACATCTTGGACATCAGACCACTTGAGAAACAGATCCTTTCGGAATTATTATAGTGAAGGTAGAAATGTAGTACCTGTGCACAAACCATGGTGAGAGCCTCACATTGTGTAGGATTAACCTTCCCCTGAAAGAAAATGACTACGTCATGTTTAATGTATAAGTAGGTTCACCGATTAATCATCTATGAAACTGGCCTCAACAGAATGGTAGCTGTATTCTAATCAGTAGAAACTCTTTATATGAAATACTCAAGCAAAAGTCCATACAGGCATGATGCTGCTGCCAGGCTCATTTTCAGGCAGTATGAGCTCTCCGAGTCCACAACGAGGGCCACTTAAAATGGAAAAAAAGAAGAAGAAAACAAAGTCAATTATCTAAGGGAAATACTATGCTGCAAATGCATGCAAGTAAAGTTTATATGAAAGAATACCTTCCAAGAAGTCGTATATCATTTGCAATCTTCATAAGAGAAGCAGATATTGTATTCAAAGCTCCACTAGTCTCAACAAAAGCATCATGTGCTGCCTGATAGTGATAGATAAGCACAATATGTGAGTATGGTGTCAGATTATACTAAAGAATACAGATTTTAAATTTGCATAGGCATGTTGTCATTGCCATTATACCATTGACTAAAATACAATGGCAAAATTGTTCGGCATAAAATAAACAAAACGAAATTATTACTAACCGGCTATGTGCACAGGTGTGCATGAGTGTGTAAAGAGAAAGAAAGTGAAGAAATGACAAGATATATATAAGATATAGAGGTCAAATATGTAAGAAGCTGCATGTCTTTGTCAAGAAAAGGGGCCAGATAAAAGCATGTTACTGAAAAACAACAGAGAAGAGAAGCAATCCAGATATAAAGTAATTGTTTTAACACATTAGGGAGATGCAAGAAAATCCCAGTTTTTCCTACAATGATAGTTACATTACTGTCCTGGAACCATATAAACCTCACTTATACTAGCTTTTCTAATAAAAGCTATCACACAACTTGTTCCAAGTGCATAAGAATCCACATCCTTCCCTCTCCCTTCCCCACTTAACAAGATTGCTCCCATTCTTTTTAAATGTCAGCAGGATCAAACTCAAGTGTTATTAGCAATTGATCCAAAAACGGTTTTTTCTATCCATATCTAGTACAGAGTTAAGATATTTAACCTAGATTTAAATGCACAGACCAGACATTCTGTCAAGGAATGAGTTTGGAGGGTCATGACATCATAGTTGTGACTGTTCTATACACATGTATAACAGACCACATTTGCATCGTTCCTCTCTCTCTCTCTCTCTCTCTCTCTCTCTCTCTCTCTCTCTCTGTTCCC